AGTAAGACTGTCGAGGAACATGTTGCACACTTGGACAAAGTCCTCGGACTCCTGCGACAGCACAAGTTCAAGATCAACGGTGAGAAGTGTGAGTTTGGCCGCACCCGTGTCTTGTACTTGGGTCATGAGATCTCCGCAGAAGGGTTGAAGCCCGATGACGCGAAGGTGGCCAGCATTCGTGATTGGCCACGTCCTCAGTCTGTGACTGAGATGAGATCTTTCTTAGGAATGACAGGCTACTATAGAACTTTCGTGAAGAACTATAGCATAGTGGTCGCTCCTTTGACTGATCTGACCCGCCTTGACAACCCATGGGAGTGGACAGATAAGTGCGAGGCTGCCTTCAGACATCTGAAGCATGCATTAACTCACTATGAAGTCTTAAAACTTCCAGATCCTGACAAGCCGTTCATAGTCACCACGGATGCCAGCCAATACGGCATTGTCGTCGTGCTCGCGCAGCAGGAGGGGCCAAAGTTGAGGCCAGTTGAGTACATGTCTAAGAAAATGCTGTCTCAGAAGTTGGCAAAGTCCACTTATGAGAAGGAACTCTATGCGGTGTACAAGGCTCTCACCCATTGGAGACACTATCTCCTTGGGAGGTTCTTCATCCTCAGGACTGATCATCAGACCCTGAAATGGATGAGAACCCAGCCGGTACTCTCTAACGCTTTCAAGCATTGGATCGAAGTCATTGAGCAATATGACTTTGACCCTCCGGCGCAGCCGCAAAAAGAAGCGCGCAAGCGAAAACAGCGCACACAAAAAGAAATATAGAAATAGCAGTCGCAAGCGAAAAACAGCGCGCAAGCGAAAAACAGCGCGCACACACCCCGTACGCGCAAGCGAAAAATAGCGCGCACAATCAAAACTCCGGCGCGGCCTCAAAAAGAATCGCGCAAGCGAAAAACAGCGCGCACAAAAAGAAATACCAAGTTCCTAAATTCCTAAGCTCCTATCTAATGCAAAAAGAGATAAAACGCAAATTCCGAAAAGAAAATCCGAAGTCCCGAGAGCCGTAGAGGCTCGACAAAATCCAAAAGGAAATTCGAAAGCGAAATTCAAAAGAAAATTCGAAAAGAACGAAGCAAAAGTCCCGCGCGATGTCCGCGCCCAAAAATCCGAAAGCCAAAACAAAAGAAGCGACGTCAACATTTATTAATCGCGCGCATGACAGCGCGCCAGCCATTCAGCCGACCAACCGACTGATCGTCCCGGGACACGCCCAGCTCCGAACCCAGCCATCCGAAGAGAAACGACGCGAAAAGACGAAGCAATTTCCCACCGATCCCGATTTCCCGTAATTGGCCCAACCTTCCCAGCTTAGGACCCCACATTGCAATCGCGCAGAAAATCGCACACCGCAGAAAGTGGTTCGTCACAGCGCAACAGGATGCTAGGATACCAATGACAAGCCCAATCAACGTTGCAACGCAGACCCAACATACGTCATTCTCATCACAAGGTGTGAAGGGGCCTGGCGCTACACACAGGAAGAAGGCGCCAGGTCCAGATCATGCACAGATTAAGAGGAGGGGAACAGACGAAGAAGAGAGGGAGAGATGGGAATGTCATCAACACCAAGTCTTTGTTACAAGTCCCAAATAATCCCTTGTCAAAATGTCTGAAGCCCAAATGTCGAGTCTGGATCCCAATGTCACCAAGCTCTCTCTTTCTCTCGTAGTCTGTTGATGCAGTGAAGTCAGGTAGCGAGAGGGTGAGAGGGAGATGGTGGACTGAGAAGAGGAAGAAGAAGAACTCTCTCTCTCTCTCTCTCTCTCTCTCTCTCTCTCTCTCTCTCTCTCTCTCTCTCTCTCTCTCTCTCTCTCTCTCTCTCTCTCTCTCTCTCTCTCACGTGCCAGGTACTAACCTGTGCTGTTGGCGCTGTGCTGCAGGTACCTCGAAGACGGAGCTGGAGCTATGGTGCTGCAGGTAAGTCTCCCTGGCCTCCGCCCAATCTCTCTCTCCCTCCAGTACTATCCTAGCTCCTACTAGCGCCCAGCGCTGAAGACTACTGCTAACGCTACTAGCGCCCAGCGCTGAAGACTACTGCTAGCGCTACTACTACTCCTGCAGCGCTCCTCCAGAGTGCTGCTGCCGAATCCTGAAGACTGCCTCCTGCCTCCTGAACTGCACGTGAAGTGCCTGGGAAGTACCTAGGAACTACCTGCAGCCTGCAGGGCGGGCCAGTCTTATATGGTGCTGGCCCGTCCAGGAGGCTGCTCTTGCCAATGCCAAAACGTGGCAGACCCTGGGGTTGAAGCTCTTGAAAATAGGCCAAAAATGGCCTGAGCTAAAACCCTGGTCTGGTGCCTGAGTTTCAGGGCAGGTCGATCTTATGAGGGCCTGAAAATGGCCCTCAGTTTCAGGCTGAAAAGGCTCAGGGCCGGAAAGGCTCTGATTTAGGTTGAAACAACACAGGACCTGTAGGCCCTTGTTTTCAGGCTTTCAGGCTGAAAACAACACGGGTCCTGTAGGCCCTTGTTTTCAGGCTTTCAGGCTGAAAACAACACGGGGCCTGTAGGCCCTTGTTTTCAGGCTCTCAGGCTGAAAACAACACGGGCCTGAAAATGGCCCGTGCAGCCTGTTGCAGGCGCAGCATGTAACACCACATGAGTAACAAAAAAGAAGGCAAAATCTGAAGTCTTCCTCCCTGAGCCCATTCGCGCATTGTGACTGCTGTACATAGCACAGTTTGTCTCAACATTTCCACGACAACAAGTGTCCGACTTTGGAAATTGCAAACACGTCATGCTCCCTACTCTCTACTCTCCTGTCCACTCTCTACTCTCCTGTCCACGAGTTTCACATGCCAGACTAATCCTCATTGTTCCCTCAAGAACACTGAAGCATCTATACTCTTCTAGGGCATATCAGTTGGGGGCCAGTGTCACTTGGAGCAACTACAGCACCACCCCACTCACAGCATTATCTTTGTACACTCTGCAGACTGACAGAGTAGCATTGGAGTGAGGTGTGCATGAATTGCCTGTGAGGCATTGCCTCTTGGTGTTGTGTGGGTGTGTGAGGGAGGATAGGACACTACAGCTATGCAGGGGTGGGGTTGATATCACCACTGGTATGGTTCCACTCTCGAACACCGAGTTATGGCTGTTGTGGTTAAAGGACCTGGTCCTTGGGGCTAAGGGTGCCGTTTCGATTCCGTGCTTGGACGCGTGGACCCAAAGCTACCGTCTTCACCCGAATAGAATGCCAGGTCATTATAGCTGCATTTGGCCCAACTTTCAGTTCAGATGCGGCTATAATGACCGGGCGTTCTATTCGAGTGAAGACGGTAGCCAGTACTGATCAAGTACCTCCTGTCTGAGGGTTGAGCCACCTGATGAGTCGGTGAAAGTCCCTCAGAGCCGCTTGACGAGTCGGTGAAAGGCCCTCAGAGCCGCTTGATGAGTCGGTGAAAGTCCCTCAGAGCCACTCGATGAGTCGGTGAAAGTCCCTCAGAGCCACTCGATGAGTCGGTGAAAGTCCCTCATGCCACTGCCAGTGTCTCCAACTTCAACACAAAAGCCCTTCAACACAAAAGACTGCTCTACATCATCCTAAGAGACTCTAGATTAACGAACCCAAGTGGCTGACTTGTACACAGTACTACACACATGTACTAACTGATTGTAATGGATCGCTGCCGTCGTCCAGCTAATTGAACGCACTTTCAGGCAGGCTCCCTGTGTCTAGACGGACTGAAAGTTGCCCCAAGTATAGCGGTAATGATCGTGCGTTCTATTCGGGGGGGAGAGGGGGGGGGGGGGGGAAGTCGGTAGTCCGAATCCCGACTCCACCGAATCCCTATCGTAACAGATGGATACAATAAGGCTACCTCTCCTTTATTTTTGTTTTTTCTTCGTTTTTCTTTTCTTTTGATTTGCCCACGTCAGTTCAGGAGGGCCCCTCCTCTCTTTCCCCCCTCCCTACTACTTCAGCATTTCTTCCCAGCGCACCACCTGCTTCCCTCAATCCTACGTTGTGGTGTCTAGCACCAGACCATCACCCCTCAACCATTTTCGGTGGAACGAGATGGCGGGACAGCGGTCGCAGCCACCAGCTACCCCCCTTCTTGCAGAAAAAAAAAAAATCAAACTGATGATAGCCTACATGAAGTGCTCAAGCTGATGCCTTTGACTTGAAGTGTCATCGAGTGTGGCACCTCACAGATCAGTGTCTTCCGCACCAAAGCATGCCCTCCCCTTACCTTGTTCACTTCGCTCTCTTCTCTTTCATTTCTTTGAATGACAGGGCCTTAGGTTCCCGGCTTCGTTCTATTCCAACGACCAACTCCTTATATGATACATACATCTCGCCTGCTAGGGATGGGTGCTCGTATCACTAGCCCTAGCAGGATCAACTGATGTTAATACGTAATAATAATAATAATAATAATAATAATAATAATAATACATACATCTCCAAATTGGCCGAAGCCAGCCACAGGGCTGCTAGAGGTGACTGCTCGTACCAGCACCTCTAACAGGCCCGGGGACTGCTTAAAAAAACAAAACAAAAAAAAAAGGCCGAAAACCAAGGGGACACCCGAAGCAGCTGACAGGCAAACAAGCGGGAACGCTTGCATAGAAAATCCGGAAACACAAAGGATAGACGCCGCGCGCGCGCGCGAGAGAGAGAGAGAGAGATCTGCAATATCGAAAATTAAAGGTAACAGGAAACGCACATAAGAAGAATGCTGCGAGAAGCCGACAGAAATATGTGTCGGAGGGCGTGTGTGTGTGTGTGTGTGTGTGTGTGTGCTGTCTCTTATACACATCTAGATGTGTATAAGAGACAGCCCATTGGAGACACTATCTCCTTGGGAGGTTCTT